CCTTCATCTTATTCCTTGAACACTTTGCCCCTTAGCCGAACAAGAATGCAATAACCCTAAACAATCTACACTATTGTGAAAGCCTTTCGTCGAAGACCTTGTGATCTTCTGCATGCTGTCGTTGTCGTCCTGAACATAGCAGGCGTTTCTTGATTCCGTTCACATAGCGGAAGTTGCAAGGGCTTTGACAGCCGTAGGAACTTTGCTTAATGAAATGGGTTACAGTGGATGACCCAAAGTGAAAACCACTGCCTTATGTAGGATTGAACTTCTAGGGACTGTTTTTCCAAGCTACTAACTCAAGCAGTCAGCCTCATCTTATTGTCAAGATCTACGGTGCATTTCCAATCTCAGTGCTGAAAATTTTCCACACTGACTATTGGTAAGCGTCTCCGAATCCTTCGATCCGTGACGACTCATTGCCTTTATGCAATGAGAGCGAGTTAGGAGTCAACAGATGTTCGTCTGCATCATGGTTATAACATTTATGGAAGGTTTACATTCCTCTCCCAAGTTACCTCCCAGAGCGTGCAATTCACATGTCTTCTTCTTCTTCTTCTTCTTCCTCTTCCTCGTCCTCTCCATAATCATCATCACCATCCTCACTGTTCTCTCCGTTCTCTGTACTTTTTCCCTCTTCCTTTGCCGCTTCCTCTTCCGGAGTAGGGTCCGTCTGCTCCACTGGCTCCTCAATTGTCTCGTGCTGAATCGCAGGCAGAGTTGTCTGGAATCCGCCGGGACCCGTTGCTTTTAGACCCCATCCCACATAAACGTTCTCAAAGGCCCTACATGAATGAACACAGACTCACGCACTGCTGGCTGAACTCTGTTTAATTGCACAACTAATCTGTCAAAACGGTGGTAAAAATTTCGCTACTTAAAATGGTACTCTCATCCCACAAACTCTCCCCACTCCATCAGTCTGTTCGTTTATTTTGTTCCAAAGTCAAAGCGTAGTGCAAGCCTCTTTAGATGTGTACTTAGATAATAGGCGGAAGAACAACTATAACTTCGCGTCTCATTGAGGTTAAACACTATCAGCCCTCGAAATCTTCGCCAACCCTCTGTCATCTTTATATGATGCACTTAATCCAGCTGCAGGGAGGAGGAGTAGAAGAAAACTCTCCAAGGAGTCTTCCTCAAAGGGATTGAGTTCGCAATTTTACTGAATAGTCTCCTGGCTGATGTCATTGGATAAGGGAACATGATGAGATGGTGTTTTGATCCCCACAGTGTGAGCATTGTGGTCAGGGCTTTTGGTTAATTATTGCTCTGATTTTTGTGGTCATGAATGGGTGGATAGAAATGTGAGAAATAAGTAGGCTTAGAAGTTCCAAATGCGGTTTTGGTTGGAATAAAGTGAAAAGTGATAAAGATTCAATTCTGTCTAAATAAGTCGAAATTGCATGCTCTAAATTTGCGGAATTGGCATTTTCTATGCTCCCAATCACAGCCTTTCGTTCAAAAAATCGGTGGGAAGGCCCAAAACTTGGAGTCTTTTCTGCGTCCATGAAAAAAATTGTTCTTCGTTGTTTAATGAATGTCGCTGATTGACGTTTTCACTCAGTAAAAGGCACATCTATAATCCACCAATGTGCTCCAAATCAAGAGAAGCAACTCAAGACGCTAGTGTCCTTTTCGTCTTAGTTACTCATTAAAGCCAGTCTTACCGAATTCATGTGCTCCTTCAGATGTTGCCATTTCTTCATTTTTTCCAAATTTGCACAAGTAATGCCCACTCTACTTACAAAAAAATCCTGGTTAACTTTTCGAACTGCTGGCGGGGAAAGCCGTTGTTAGCGCTCCTGTTTCTTGGCTTCATCGTTCATCCTCTGGAATCAATCCTGTCCGGGCATCCCTTGATAAATGTGTGTGGGTCTCGTTACCCAAAGTGAAAGAGCATCTTCTATGTCTCAAGTACGTTCTGCTTTTCTGTGTGCCATTTTTGACATCTCATCACCAAGTAAATTTATCCGAAGCTATGGACTGTGCCATGCATAGTTTTAGTTTTGATGTATTCCAGTGGCTTCCAGTTCGGCTCAACTGGATCTACCAGCAAAAATGTTTGCTCCAGCTTCCCAGAATTCGTATCCTATTTATCCTTTAAAGATGGTATTGAATTTTCATCTCTTCAAGCCAAGGAGATTATGACAATTCTATTGCATAAACGCATGGATAACAGAGTGACAATCGACGCGAGCTAAGGAAAACCTACCCCTCCCAGGCTATCGTATGTGCTCCGGGCCATAGGAGTGACGAAATGCGTAGATATAGACCGCCTGGAAAGCGTCGAATTGTCCAAGGAACCTGTCCATGTACCTCGAGATCTTCAGTGATTGGAGTGAGGATTGGTGGACCTCTCTCGGGCTGATGCTCCACGCCAAATCCCCGCAGAGGAGGAATTTTGTTGTCGTCACCGGTACTGCCACTTTCAGATCCGGTTTCGTCCTCGACTTCAAGGGGATTCCACCTGGCGGATTAAAGATAATAACAAAGGTCATTCAATTTGGTCAAAATTAAAACTAGCGTGGAAGAAAATCACATATCAAACTTCAAATTTAGGAATTAAAAGTAAATGTATAAGATTAATGGTAGGTGGACAGATTAGGAAATCGTAAATAAGCGGGAACGTGCATTGGGGCTAAACAATTGAAAAGTCCGAGATATTTTGGTGGATTGAAAAGACTGGATCCCAGATAAGATTATCAGATGCGGATAGATTTTGGTGGATCGGAGGTTAAATGAATGTCTCTGATGGGCGAAACTTTGTTACACTAGTCAAAAGTTCTCCCATTAAGTAGAGTTAATAGGAGCATTATAGAGCAAAATGATGGGATTCTGCAGAAGCATAAGGAGGTAAAATTGTAATAAATAATCATACGGATCCGGTAACAGGAAACACGGGATCTACCAAGTTACCCGACCCTGCGGCAAAATGTAGGGTCGGCAGTGAACCCACTGCTCCAGTTCCATCTCATCCAACGGCTGTGCCACATACTCTTCGTTCTCCTCGCACTCTACCTGCACCATTTCTTCGTCCTCTTCCTCTTCTTCACCACCATCATCATTATCATCTTGACGAAGCTGAAAGAAATTCTGAGGGGCTAACTGCGTGGCAGCGCTAATTCGCGCTACTTGTGCACGTAGATAGTGCGCCTCGGTCCCCGGAAATGGAGGAAAACAATCCACGGTGGCTGTCAGGTCACCAGTCAAGTGGCTACAAATCTGTCAAGGTATGTATCGCAGAAGTTTTAAATATATTCAACCACTGGAAAGTACAATGGATGTAGCTGACATAAAAGATTAATGATTAACTGCTAATTGCGAGAGGCCTTACACCCAACTCGGTATCTTGTAGGGTGCCAAATGATGTGGCGGTGATTTTGTTTTCGAAACTGCTTGCTTGTCAGGATACGGAAGGCCATATTAGCAAAATCAACGATCTATTAATGCATGACAAACAGCACCACTCAAAAGCCTCAACGATGCCTTCGTTATTAGTCCGAAGTCTAGTATGCTGATAGGATTGAATATTAGTTTTGAATTATATTAGATTGCATCAAATTTATTTGATAGACTGGTAAGATAGGGTTTCACCCTTCAGATCGTTTATACTCTCCCTGAGCGCCTTGTAAAGAATAAATAACGATCTGTAAAAGTATCCAAGTTCAAAAAGCGAATTTTGCCTGAAATCATCTCTTTTACAATCGGCTCCATTTATTATTGTGATTTTTCATCTCATACCACAACCAATGCGAAAAATAAAAAAGAAAAGTCTCACCAGTCTTGCAGCAACGATATGTTTGGGTTTCGCATGTGGGAGAAGCAAGTAGGGCCCACAAGGGAAGTTGCTTACGAAATAAACTCTCGAATTTACTCCTTTACCAACGTCCTCCTGAGGTATTTCAGGAGATGGCTTCCAAATTGGTTTAGGAAGCGGTGGATTTGCGGACATTTCCTCGTTTTTAGCAACTGCTAGGAGTGTTATTAAAATTAGCAGCTTTAGGAATAACTACGCCTGCAGTATTACAATTAAAAAATGCTAACCGATTTCCTCGATTTACTGCAACCATTCCGCAAAATATAATGACTTTCTATTAAACAAATCTTCGTGGTCTATCACTTCCTACACCATAAAGTTGTAAAATCATATTTATATTTTATAGCAAAGGGCCATACTGGTCCTATAACAGTTATGGTACATTAAAAATGGCTTGCACTGGCTCACGGCTGTTTAAATCATTGTCTTCTTGTATAGTCTCGTTTCCAGCATTGTCTTCAAAGATACTGCTGTCGCCGGGGATGCATTCAATGATATAATAGTCGTTGTGGGTGCCAAAAATCTTGCCCCAAAATCTAATGCTCTCAATGGGGTAATCTGCGTCGATTTTTTTGAAAGCTATTTTCAACTTAAAGCATTCACTGGCATCCAAGCCTTCGCCTGTACAAACAAATTTGCTTGCTACGCCATAAATGTCTTGAACAATAATGTCTTCATCAGTGGGTTCAGATTCTTTCATAAATCTCTATACAATTGGGCATCAAGTGGTACAGTTACATCAAGAAGAGACTTTTCCTCCTTCAGATACTCCAGACTTATGCATTCCTTTGCATCATTATTAATGTTTTCAGATCCTATTGGAAATTTTGAAAGATCATTATCGAGTCCTGCTAGGCTTTGTATGTCTTTGCATTCGCCAGAAATTAGCTTGCGTAAGAAGTTCTTTAGCACATCATAGCTGATTTGCTTCTCTCGAATAATTTTAAATTACCTATTAGTTCCAGAAGGTCCGCAACTTATCTTAAGCTTTTCTTTACACTTGACTATGTCTTCTGAATACATTTTGTCCGTTCCCTTTGGACTTCGATTTGGCGCTGACTCTTTTGAGTTGACCTAGTTTGCCGTTCACTCCATAAAACAAAATCGCTGAATCACTACTTTCTACCTAGGTCCCGGTGTTCCCGTTCTTAACAACGAAATTTCGCAGAATCACTCAGTAAAAAGCGGAACTCTAACGTGCTTTAGATTTTGGTAGGGAATCAGAATATAGAACGCTACCGAGAAACGCCAATCCCCTTCCCCGTCCCCACAATTTCAACCGAAGTCAACCATCACCAACTCCAGACCCGCAAGCTCAAAACTGAAGCCACCAAAACTACCACCACATTTATTATGGTTGGTACATACGCACGTCACGCCCGTACGCAAACCTTACAGTGGACATACTACAGTTTAGTCGTAGGCCAACCAGGTTTTGATGAGCCTGAAATAACGAGCATGACGATCCACGATTCTCAGTCCGCCTCAAAGAGATCAGCCAACGCCTGGATAGCCAACTCTACGCGAGTCTCCACGCTAACTCCTTCACGTTTCCGTTGGCGTTGTCTTGATCGCAAACTGGGTCTCCTTAGTGGTTCTAACGCTGTGATTGATAAAACCTGATTGTGTTGTTCTGCCAATGGAATCTACCACAGAATAAAACAATCATAGGGGTACTCAAACAGCTCTCAACCATAACAGTCCCGTAAATCTCTCGAAATCCAAAATTGACTTTATTATCACGGACTTCACCTTGACCGCACCTACTAACCTCGGAACCTTTTCAAGGTAATGGCAACTCAGGTGATCAACTCAATTGCTTTATGCTGACTTTAGAACTGGCAGTTGTGGGTCTGCCTTGAAAAAGGAGAACTCGAATAAATGTCGCATAGATAATATACCAAGTCATACAGGCCATATGACTAACATGCACAATTGAATCGCTAAATGACCATAACATAAAGGCCATTAATATCGCACAACTAAAAGTTCATTATATGATTCTTAGGACTCTTCATAATACCTCTAATTGCGTACGCTACTCCCGTGCTAACGGAATCTAGGCCTCCAATTGCCGGAAGTTCTTAAATTTATATCAAAACTGCTTCCTAGCACATACAACCTAGTAAGGCTTCAGGAGGAAATCAGCTACTAAATCACAAACATTAAAATCGAGTAAGGAAGTGGCATAATTGATTAGATCGAGGAAATTATTACTCACCCCGATTATAGGCTTCAGCAAATTTCTCAAACGCTCTCGAAGCACCTTTTCCGAGGGCGATTTACTGCGATTAAACATCAACTCTGTATACTTCTACAAATTGCAAAAGCACCAGTATCAAATTTGCCAAGAAAGATAACCCACAAGTTAAACTAACAGCTCCAAAACCACACCCTAATTTCTACAGAGTGCTGATTGTCCGACGCAGTGCCTTGACAGCTACTCAGCGCGGAGAGCAGAATGGGCTCTAGGTGGACAGTGACGGCCTCAAAACCACCCTCAATCATTGCGATAGTGCGACTAATCAGACTGAAGAGAGGAGGTCCGACGTCTGACAGAAACTGCCCATTGGTTTGGAGAGCTCGTAACCCACCAATCAGCAGCTGGGAGGCAAGCTCAGTAGGTAAGTTGAAATGTACGCTTGGACCATCTCGGCTCAGTGTCTGAAGAGGAAAGTTACTACTTCTTGCAATAATATGTGCAGCATGAGACAAGCATACCATGGCATGATTGAGTTTCAGAATTATTGTATGTAACGTATTCACTATTCGATGCTCCTTGAGTAAAAAAGTAAATCATTAAGAGAGCGACAAGTTTAAGCGCCAACAGAGACTGAATGAGTGATTAATGGACGAAATTTAAACCCACATAGTCAATGACCTTGACCAGAAGGGTGGCAGCCTTGGTGCAAACTTTGCTGTCAGGCCAAGTGGTCGCCGCCATCAACCACGAGGAGATGCGAACGAACATCTCAGTATGGTTACCGATACTATTTGTGCCCCAATCGACAAGGAAGGCCTTTGCAACCGGACCGAACTCCATGGATCCTGACGTTGCTGTCGTCGCCCCTATCTCGCCCTCCTGCTCAGTTTCACCTTCCACTACCTCCACCTCCTCTGTTTCCATGCCTTCAGGAAGCCGCGGGTGCGCTCCCGTGAATAACAACAGGGTTCCTAGAGGAAAAATGAAAGGTAACGTCGATGACTGAAGCTTCCTATTTGACTTGTTTTTGTGAAAAGGGTTACTAACAAAAAGTACATGTGCTCACACCTGATCATGCCTAAGATGCTATGGAAAACAGTATGTCAGCGAAGTCACACTACGGAAGATTGCATCATAGGCATAGAACAACCATTGTTGTTGAATATTGGCTAGTGTTGTTTACTAATTTATGGGTAGTGTGAAAGCTTAAATTGTCGAAAAAGACAACAAATGACGACGCACGACTGAGTCTACAAGAATAGCTAATTGATGAGGTGAAGATCACAGAACATCCATTCACAGAGGCCTTGTTGTTACTAACAGAGAATTCTTGTCAAACCTCCTACGATGATCTCAAATACACAGACAAGGACAATGTGAACTGATGACCAGGTCAACAAGTGTGGTCACGCTTTTCAACCAAACCGACAGTAGTGTAGTCGGCTTTCACTGACACGCTTACAAGACTTTTCCTTTTGTCTTCCACCTAGACCAACAAACAAGTAGGTTCGATCGTAACACCTCTACCTGACACGTAGAGCTAACGAAACCGATCTAGGCCTTCCTTCTTACACGCACAGTGACACCCAACACTACCTAGCATTTTGAGTCATCATGCACGTTGTGTGGCATTAAATCTGCGTACCAGAGGGACAAGTCCATTTGCTTCTCCACGTGTCTTCAGTAAAAGGAATGGGATTATTCCCCGTAGCATTGTCTCCCGGTGACTTAAAAGGCTCAAAAGCAACACGATAGTTGGACAATACTCCGACTACCTAGATGGCTATAAGACCGATCACATTGTGCAGGAACCCTGAGACTGAATGGTTGCTGACAGCCGTACAATGTTCAAATCAGAACGATAGGGGATTAAATATTGACAAGTATAATGCATAAAAGATATCACCTTGTAGTTCAAGTAACTTACGAGTAATTTCGACCAAACTTGTCGAGAGCAAGCGAACAGTCTCTTCAACGAAAATCTCATTGACTACCTCCTGCCCATTCACCTCGTCCTTGCTGGAAAAATTTATGGTAACAAAAGAAGGGGAGAGAATTACACCTTCTAGACAGACTTACTTGACAAGCTTCACGACAGCCCAACTCTTATTCACTTTCTAGAAAGATAAAAAGGGACGTAAATCGTCTATAACCAAACAATCTGAAAAAAATTTAAGAAATCAAACAAGACTTGGGACGTTTTACCTGATAAAGCGCGTCGAGGACGTAAGGCATGAGAGGGATGAGAGCATTGTTGATATGTTCGGCGGGGCAGAGACGCACATAAGGAATTATCAAATGACCTGAAATAATTAGATAGGAAATGAAAATGTAATCACAGCTCTGAATAACGGAGAGACCTGTTTCGAGCGAAGAGAAGAAGACTGAACAAAAATAAGTTGATGTGCCACTGCGATGCACATTGACTAATTACCGAGAACCCAAATGCAACCAGTCAGCCTCCCCTGATGACACGAAACTGGAAGTTTGCCAAGCAATCACGCCTGAGCACATAAACCTTTAGTTGCACCTAAGTTTTGTCCCCTAACTGATATCTATGCGATTGTCGAATATCGCGAAAGCCAATTAGATCGATGTTGCTAAGACATACGGAGGATAGAAACAATACAGCATTGCCTACATTCAAAAGACGCAAAGTGAGTTATGAATGAATTATGCACTAGCACGGGCAAGAGCACCACACACAACTCAGGCATGGCCTTACGAGGCAGAGGTGTCTTTGGAGACGTTGTGGGATG